ACAGGCATTTTCTTCTTGGTTTCTGGCCGGCAGAGGCCTGGGTTGGCTGGGGCTGGGAGCGGGAGAGGCTGCAGGCTGCGCTAATGAGGCCTGAGGCCTCATCCCAACGGCCAGAAGGGGGCTGGGCAGAGGCAGAGCTCAGCAAAGCAGGTAGAGAGGCCAGGCTTGGGGGTACTGTCAGCAAGGGACCACCCCCAACCCCAGCCTGCTTCTGCCTGGGCGAGAGCTACTGTCAGGAGCCAGGCTTCAGGACCTGAGGACCCTGGGAGCCAGGGCACCAGGGCAGGTGGAAGCAAGTGCTTAAAGATGAATCTGGTGGCCTGGTCCACAGAACTGGTCCAAGAGTAAGAGGCCACCAAAGAATAGGACTCACCCCTGAAGAAAATGGAAATGGAGAAGCTTAACTGCCCTGGGGTCCCCAGATGCACCACCTTTCTTGCCAGCTCTGCAATAAGGCTACAGAGAACTCCAGACAAGCTCTGAGAGGATCTTACAGTAGGCATCTTATGCTGTGGTCACTGAATCTCTGCGGGACGGGCAGGGGCCTGACCACTATCTAAAGAAGACCAAATATTTGGGGGATTCAGAACAGAAGTACCCATGATAGCAGAAGGCATGCCAAAGCCACCAGGATAATGACAGACACCAAAGGGTCTGGGAGAGAGGGCAGCGTAAGAGGACTGGGTGTGGGGACACTGAGTGAGAGGACCCAGGGGGATGAAGGCAGGGTGTGCCACAGCTGAGATATGGGGAAGAGGTCATGTGCTGAAGAACCCAAAGCCGATTCGGGCTCTGGGCTTTACCCAACAGTCCATGTGAGCCACAGAGGATTCTAGGTAGAGAGTGGCAAGCTCTGGATCCATCCTTCCGGCTTCATGAGGACTATGTCTAGAGGGGGTTGAGAATCTGTCTTGTGGTGTGTGGGTAGAAGGGTTTTTAGGTTGTAATCCTGGGGAACAAATCAGCACAGGAGGTACCATTTGGAAACCTGTTCTTTTCACTCCTGGAGCCTGCCTTTGGGGGGCCCATGCATATGGAGTACCATTGTATACAGGGGCCTCAGGGGGTGATCAGGGTAGGCCTTGTGGAGGATGGCCCAGTCAAGAAAGGCTACCTGGGTCAGGTCTCTCAGAGGAGTTGATCCCGGCAGGGCAGCCCTTGCAAAGGCTCAGAGGTCCCCAGATGTCAGGTTCTAGGAGCTAACTGGGTGTGACAGGGTGGCTTCAGGTCACCCAGAGTTGGTTGGCTTACCTAGAAGCTGCTGGCATGTTTTAAGCAGAAGTGGAATGGTGTCTGGTCTTCTTCCCACTACCTTGGTGCTGCAGGGAGGTGAGTAGAGCAGGTGGGGTAATGCACTGTGGCCTGACAGGGCTCAGACCACCAAATAGAAGTTCCTACTGAAGCTACTTGATGTGGGGGCCTTCTGTATCCGGAACTGGGATGTAACAGAGTGAGGGTACTCCAGTGCAATTCCTTTCCTAAACAACCCCAAACTGGGAGCTTCTACAATAGGAACACTTTCGTTTAGAGATCAGGAGCCTAGCATCAACTATCAAGGTGGGCCAAGGCCACACTTCTTCCCAGTAATCCAGATGGTGCCTGCCTCTTCCAACCTCCAGGGCCCTCAGGCATCCCCCAGCTTGCGACTACATCACTTCAGCCTCTGCCTCTGTCTTTGTATAATCTTATTCCTTCTGTAACATTTTCTGTCTTGTGTCTTCTGAGGATACCTGCCATCCAAGTTAGGCCTATGGTAAACTAAAAACAATGCCATGGCAAAATCCTTATGTATTTTTCAAAGATCCTTCCTTTCTCTAAATAAGGTCACATTCATAGGTCTCTAGGTCAGGAGGTAAATATGTCTTCTGGAGGACACCATTTACACCATTGAAGAGATGTCTGTAAGTATTTGTTGAGTGAACAGCAATGGCCAATATGGCCCATGTGATTGACCTTGTTCCAGCTATGGCCTCACTTCTTAGATTTGTACTTCCTCCTGCTGCATCCATTCAAAGTGATGCTCTGATACTCCAGGTCCAGTAATGTGCATCCCTCCCTTTATATGCTTCTCTACACTTGCCACATTCTCTGTGTCATCTTCTTGGTGAGAGACCTATTCAGCACTCTACCACACTCATCTGGCTCCTGCCGAGGCTCCCTGAACATTGTAGCTGCCCACACACATGTGTGGATGGGGTAAGTGGTAGATGGATGGATGGTGAGTGGGAAATGGATAGATAGATGGATGGTTGGTGGGGGAGCAAGTAGGCATATGTGTAAATAAACAGGTGTCTTAATGAGTTAATGAGTTGGCAAATGGTGGGTGGGTTGATGAATGGTTGAGTGGTAGGTAGGTAAAGGGATAGATTGGTGGATGAGTGGATGTGTGAATGAATAAATGGGCGTATTGCAGGATGAATTGGTAGATAGATGGGTGAATGAATGGGTGAGTAGGTGGATGAATGGATAGATGAGTGGATTAGTGTATGTGTGGGTAGAGCGGTGGGTGGGTAGGCAGATATGTGGACTGATGGATGAAAGGTTAGCTAGATGAATAGGTGGGTATTTATGGTGGGATGTGTGAATGGGTAGATGGGTGAGTGGGTAGATGATGGTTAAGTAGATGGATGGGTGAATCGACAGGTAGATGGATGGGTGGATGGGTAGTCATGCGAATGAGTAAACAGGTAGGTGGGTGTGGGGGCGAATGGGCATATAGATGGCTAGACGAATGAGTGGATGGGTGGATGGATGATAGAATAGATGTATGGATGCTATGGATGGATGGGTAGGTAGATAATGGATGTATGGATGCTATGGATGTGTGGATGGATGGTAGATGAGTGTGTGCATCAGTGGATAGGGGAGATAGATGAGTGAATAGGTGAACGGGTGCATGGGTGATGGGTGGGTAAATGGGAAAGGATAGGTGGGCAGGTGTATGGATATAAGTAGATTAGTGAGTGTGTAGGTAGGGAGATGGATGGTGGATGGCTAGGTAGGCTTGGTGGATAAGTGGACAAATGGGTGGGTGGATATGTATCAGTGGGTAAAGGGATGGATGAATGAATGGTTAAATGTATGGGTAGGCAGAAAGGTGGATGATTGGGTAGACAAATGGATATATGTATGAACAGATGAGTCGGGGGGTAGACTGATGGATGATTGGTTGGAGGCTGGATAAGCAAGAGGATGAATGAAAGTTGGGCAGACAGACAGACAGGCAGGTAACTGGATATGTGGAGGGAAGAGCTTCTTTGACAAACAGAATTGGCCAAGCAAGAAAAGAGAGCCCGAGCCTGTCCTGAAACACCCTGGGTGGGGGTGAGGGAGCCTTGAGGGGGTTTCTGAGAGGTAAGAACTAATCCAAAAGGTCTGGGCCAAGTGGCTGATTAGACCCAGGACTTCAGGGAGGTCATAGGATGCCATGCAGGCACTAGGGAAGGCAGCCATCCACTACTGTGAGAGTGGAGGACAATTGCAGTGGAGTATGAAGCCACCCTGGGAGCTCCAGGGGTGTAGCGAGGGACAAGGGAAGATAGCAGGAGGTGCCAAGAACTCCAGGTTTAGGTGATCTTGGCTAGCAAGTCAGGAAGGGACCAGCCTGGGCAAGGGGGTAAGAGTCTGGAGCCTGGACACCCTAATGCCTGCTCCATAGGGGCCTAAGTCACTGTGGAGTTGACAGAGAGTGGACAGGCACACAGTGGGCTTTCAGGAGTTAGTGGGTGGGAACACACTGCACCGTCCTCAGGGGAGTGGCCAGCTCTGGGCTGATGTCTTTCAGAAGACTCACTGACTGGGAAGGTGGTCTGCCCATAGTGTGGAGTTCATACCAGCCCCCATCCTAGCCTCAACTGTCAAGCTAGGGCAGCCTCAGGAGCCCAGTCCCCTTTATTACCACCTTGCTGCTGTCCAGTTTTCCTCTTTAAGGATAAGCTTGCTTCTTCCAAGCAGTCCCCCACAACCACTGCACACCCTGAGTTTGGAAGTAGCCCTTGGATAGGTATGCTGCCTGGAGATACCGCTGCAGACCTCCAGAGGTCACACCCCACAGCATGGCCAGCAAAGAGACCGAGTAAACACAAAATGAAAAACTAATGCTAACTGGTATGCTGTCTCGCACCTGTCATTTCAGCACTTGAGGGGCTGAGGCAGGAGGATTGGGATTTCATTGAGTTCTAGTCCAGCATGGACATCCATACACAGTTCCAGGCTTGCCTGGGGTAGAGTGTGAGACCCTATTTCAAAATACTAGCCACACACAATAAAAAAAAAATGCTGGTGCGAAGGAATGGCTGGGAAAGGGGCAGGGTCTCAGGCATGGGGCCTCACCAGCAGCCCTTGCTTGGGCTCCTCCCACATGGGTGAAGGGCAGATGCCTACCTGCCCTGGGAGAATTTGGGGAGAGGGTAGGGAAGAATGAAGAAGTGGAAGGAAGATATCCAAGCCAGGCTCCAAGCATTTAGGGGCAGGCCTCACTTTTCTTCCAGGGTCAGGGACCCTGAAGACCATTGCCACTGGACAGGTTGATCTACTGACTACTGGGGAGAGGCTCCAGCATAGCCTTCAGAGAGGGGACAGTGGCAGTGACTACATGTGCAGGGTACCCATCCCAGGTGTTTGTCACCCTGAGTTGGACATGGGCTGTCCAACACTAACTAGAGATTTCCAGAAGACCCTCCTTCCCACCCCCAAAGCTAAAGGCAATGTTCCCCCGGTTGGGTATTCATGGCACATGGTTCATTGGAAAAATATCATGGGATCCCTCTATCCACAAAGCACCCCATCTTTGAGAAGTCCTCAGGTTGTCCCCGACCCTCTGGGGTCCTCAGAGAGTGCCTCATTGAGCCCATTTATTGTGGCAGATCCAGAGGGATGCATACTCCAAAGACTTTTCCTCTTCACCTGCTGCCTCCCAGGCAGGCACCCTTCTTTCCCTCCTTCCCACCCAACTTTCCCTCCTCCTCACCCCCAAATAAAATAACAAAGAACTCAGAAAATAGTATTTTAAATGCTTTATTAGGTTTGCAAGCGTTAACAGGTTAAAAACAAAACCCAAGCCTTTGGATTTTGCCAGAAATAGCATGTTAAAGGGACTGAGTTGAGGCAAACACCTGGGGCCACTGACAGATGACACATTCAGTGGCACAGGTGACATATGGCGTTCGACGCGTGGGGAGTCTTCAAGTGATGACAAAGGGAGGGACCCAAGAGGGGATCCCGCTGAAGACAGCATGGAAGAGACAAGATGGAGGGCCACACTAGGCACGGGAGGTCAGGGAGGTGCCTGCATCAGGGTGATCTATGATCGGGGAGAACTGCAAATTTGGGGACACAGAGGGTAGTTGGCAAATGCCCCTGAGAGCACCCATCCCGGCGAGGCAAACTAACACTGGGTGGGTGGGTGTCCAGTCAAATGGGCAGGTAATTTAGGGTGCCTCGAGATCTTTTGGGTATCGGGCCAATTCCCATTCTCCAATTATAACAATTTACTCTTTTAAGTTTCTGTCCAATGTTCCGAATGGCCCATTCTTCAGGCACTTGCCAAGGAACCCTCTATGCCACGGTCGGGCTGACACACACCGCCCCCAGGGAGATGTCAGTCCTGTCACCTGGGCCCAGAAGCCTCGGGCCTCTAGACTACTAGTGGACTGTTGGGCAGGGGGACTGCACTGGAGGCAGAAGTGGGGGTGAGGTAAACCTCCAGCTGCCCTGGTCCCTGCCACAGTCTTAGGCACCATGGAGTGGCTGCTATGGCTTGCCAGACCCTCGGGCCTCGGGGTCCAGGTGACCCCATGTGGACAGCTCTCCTGGCTCTGCAGGCTTTAAGCCTCCTAGCTTCCCCAGCTCCAGGCCTCACCCCACCCTGGCCAGAGGAGGTCTGTAGAGCTCCAGACCTCCTGGGGACAAGGTGGGGTGCTGAGGAATGGGCAAGATGACACTGAGGGACGGGGGGATGACTCCCCAAGTGCTCAGAAAGCAGCCACTTGCTCCCGCCTGATGGAACCTGTCTACTCTCACACTACATCCCCTTCCCCCCCAGCTGGCAGTAACCAGATGGGGGCCCCATCTTTGTGGCCTCCGAGCACCTTCCTAACACCTGAGGGGACACTGTCCCACGCCCCCTCCACTACTCAGAACTCCTGGGGACCAGCCACTGTCCTCAGAAGTCAGGCCAGACAGCGGCCTTCTCAATTCCTTTTGTTTCTCTGTGGGTGCGTGGCCAGCACCCCACAGAGACTCCACTCCCAACTCAGGCCAAGCGACAGAGATAGATTAAAAACAAAAAATCAATTAAAGGCGATAAATGGCGGAGAGCAGGACATGGTGGTAGTTGTGATGATGGCTCAGAGCATTCATTACTTCATCACTGCTCCCCTGTTACTTAGGGAGTGGGTACAATTTGATTATGAGCGCATATAAAGCTAAGGAGGGATCAAAAAAAAAAGGAAAAAAAAAAAAGGAAAGATGCCCCAAGAAACAAAAAGAGGGGAATAGATCAATTGGCGTAAAATTTGGGCTCCCAATTCTTCTGTAATTCTGCAAGTTGACCTGTGCCTCCTCCTGATTCTTCCATCCAAAACCTCTCTGGGACCACTTCCTACCCATAGCTCCCCCCACCCAGCCCCCACTGCCCCCCACCCACCCCTCCAACCGCCAAACTTCCCACACTCCCCACCATCAGTGTGAGTCTCCTGGGGAGCCCCTAAAATGTGGGGGCTCCCCAGGAGACTGACAGAGATGGCCCATAGGTGTGCTCAGGGCAGGGGATGTCCCCCAGATCTTTCCTCCTGGAACACACCCAGGGGTCAGGCTACTCGGGTGGCATGTCTTACTTGGCAGTGCCATCTCCTTATCAGGCCAAACTTATTCTACACTGGAGGAGGCCAACACACAAGGTGGATAGGCATTGGCCCACACCGGGTGGGGGGCTGGGGAGCACTGGGCTCATGCTGTAGGGGTCCCTGGAGACAGGCGCCCAGATGGAAGTGAGCCTTGTAGGAACACCTTCTCTGGGAAAGATGGAACTTACAGCCTGGTCACACACAGGGCCCACAAGCAGCAGCAGAAACTAGATGGACTGGGAGGGGAGCTCAAACCATGCAAACTGCTTTGCGAATTGGGAATGAATCTTGGTTTGGGCAATGTGGTCTGAATAGGAGCTATTCAGCCATTTCAATGTTCTCATCTAATTGTGCGGGGTGTGTATAAGTATGTAAGTGAGTGTGCTTATGTGTGTGCATATATGGCGCATACTTGTGTTTGTGTGTGTGTGTGTAGAGATAAGTAAAAACATCTGCATTTTAGCTAGGTACCAAAAAATAAGATTTTGGGATTGGGGGACTGTGCCAATTAAGTTTTGTTTTCAGTTTCCATGCTCTGTTCCTCTTCTTGTGTTCTTTCTTTTCACCCAGCCCTGTGGTGACATGGTGACATCTAGGATGGAATGGCCAGTGAAGAAAGTTTGGGTGGCTGTTGTTCTCAGTCAGCTTGCGCTAAGGCGCTCTATCTACATGGTGACAAGGAGATAGCACTGAAGTAATGACATGCCACCTGGAAAACTTTGGGTCCCCTTCCTTTCTTCTTGGGTTCTGAGATCCAAGTCTAAGCCAATTTGACTAAAGATCCAAATGGGAAGAAGAGGAAGGGGGGGGCGCCAATTATCTTATTTTGCCAATTGTTTTTAAGCCAATTAATTTTTAGTATGTTTTCAGCCAATTGATTTTTTTAGTTATTAAATTTTTAAGTTAACAATTCTGGTGTTTCTAAAAGGCCAATTTGTTTTTTTAAAGGGACTGTATGTTTTAAATTTTTTCTTTCAGAACAATTTGGGGGGGGTTATTTGGGTTGTTCAGAGCCAATCCAGAGCCAATTTGTTTTTTAAAGGGACTGTATGTTTTAAATTTTTTCTTTCAGAACAATTTGGGGGGGGGGTTATTTGGGTTGTTTAGAGCCAATCCAGAGCCAATTTGTTTTTTAAAGGGACTGTATGTTTTAAATTTTTTCTTTTAGAACAATTTTTTGGGAGGGGGTTATTTGGGTTGTTTAGAGCCAATCAATTTAGTTTTGAAGAGTTGCCCGATGGTATGGGGCCTGGGGAGCAGCCTGACGGGGAGGCGGGGCATGGGGGTAGGTGGGGAGAAGCCTAGGGGAGGAAGTGGTGCAGAGAGATCTTAGTGTGAGACGTGATGGAACTGTCCCTGCTCAAGAGGAGGTCACAGAATGATGGTGTTACATTGCAGAATTACCAAACAATTTAGTTCACTGATGACTGCTGGACATCTCCGAAGAGGCTCCCCCGTGGGCGGGATCTTTGGGTGGTAAGGCGATCAGGGGACGGTGACGGTTGGCCTCTCTGAACGCTTGGAGTTCTCTGGCGAGCATGCGACCCCGGCGGGCACGCAGGAGGGCAGGCAGGCCTCTGCGCAGGCGTTGGGCGGACTTTCTCCAGGTGTCGTATTGGAAAAACTTGCCCACGGGGTATCTGGGGAAGTCGTCCTGAAGAGGAGGCGCTGGTCAGCGGGCGTCAGGGTATCAAGTTAGCCTGAGTACCCAGTCAGGTCTCATCTGCCCCCATCCCCACTAGAGTCACACCAGCTCGTGGCAACTCCCCACAAATATCTATATTCATGGGCAGAGGCCAACAGTGATAAGTGAGTGGACTCCGTGATACCCCAAATCAAGAAGCTGATGGTCTTTGTCCCACCCCCACCACTCCCCCAACCCCACCCCACTACCTAAAAATCCGCCCTCTCCCAAGCCTCACCGGAAGAATGGTCTGAAGAGTTGACACATCCCTCTCGGACTTGGCGGGGGTGGCACAGTATGTCTCCAGGAGGTTCAGGTCGCAGCGGCGGAAGCAACACTCTTCCACGATGCCACGGCTGCGACGGTTGGCACGGCTTGAAGGCCTGCCTGGAAGTTCCACAGGACAGAGAGCTCTAATCAGCACCAGCTGGGGTCAGCACCCACTGGGGTCAGCACCCACTGGGTCAGCCTCCCCAACCACACGGGGAAGGCTGCAGAAGAACAGAACTACCCCAGCCCTCCCACTAGGTCCTGGCCTGACACTAGGTTGCTCTGCGCTCTGTGGGGATGAGGTAGAAGTGTGAGTCAGGTGGGCCAAGACGCCCAGAAAGGAGAAATGAAGGTGCATGCTGCAGGACCAGCCCCTGGCCTCTGGTGCCTTTGTGCAACTAACATGGCACAGCCTCTCTGTCCCACAAACTCCATGGAGACCAGAGGCCACACTGGAGTGGTTTGGAAAACAGGGAGGAGGAGAGGGTGAGCCCCGCAAGGGAGCTATGGTGGACACAGGTGTGGTCTCTGGGCTTGGGGCCCTGGCCTGGTGCCACCTTGAGCCTGAGGGGCCCACCCCCAACCCCCAGCACTGAGCTGAGACAGGGAAGATAGGGTAGGAGAGAACAAGACGGGAGGGGAGGAGTGAGGCCCAAAACCAACTCCCTTCTCTTCTCCCGTCTTCCCCCTCTCCCCCACGCACTGCAGGTCCGAGGCTGGGCTGGGGGTAGAGCCATTGAAGGCTTCACCTTGGACCCTCTATTCTGGAAGCCCCTCTGTGCAGGAGTGGCTCCTATAGCAAGGGCTGGCCCTGCAGTGCCAGAGGGTGCAGAGAAGCTTCAGAGTGCCCAAGAACAGGAGTTGTTTCCAGAGATGTGAAGCAGGAGCACACTCAGAGCAGTTCACAGGCAGGTAGGTAGAGGTGCAGAAGAGGAGACCGCGAGTCCAGGACCAGGTGAGGAAGATAGAATGGCCCATGCCAGCAAGGAGAGACATCCATTCTGGTGCCCCTGCCCTCCCAGGCATGCCCCTCCTGGGTGTCCCCCATCACTGTCTTCTGTAAGCAGGGAGCACAAGCCTCAGTCCCGCCCCCAGGCTGGGAAATCAAGAGAAGTGTGAGCAATAATGAAAGCAGATAAGCATCCCGTGTTGTAGCTCTGGGAACCCCTGAATTTGGATGGTCGAGCTCTCCCCTTGTTCTCCCATCTGCATGTACACTCTTTCACCTGGTCAAAACCCGGTAACCGCATTTGGCTTTCTTTTTATTAACTTTTAAAGCGATCAGACTTTTGAGTGTGAGACCACAGCCCTGCCCAAGTGGGAGGGGAAGCGAAAGCCCAAGGCCAAGCCAGTGTACCTTAACTGTCACCCCACCCAGGGAGGCCTGACCTTCCCCCCCCCTCCTCCCCATTTCTCTGGAGTTACTTACTGAAGTAAAAGCCGCGGTCCGAACAGACAAACTGAAGCGTGTCAACAAGCTCCCCTCCGCACAGGGTCTCGCTGGGGCGGTAAGCAGCAATGCAGCACAAGGCGAAGGCCAAAGAGATGAGAAGCACCAACATCGACTTCCCCACTGGGATCCCCATTGGTAACTGAAAAAAAAGAGATACAGGCTTTGAGTTAGAGGTCCCAAGATGCTCCTCTGCACCGAAGATACCTATCGTCTCTTAATTGAAAATGCAATTGAAATTTGAAAGGCAGCTTTGTCACTATTTATTTGACCTGCGAAAACAGGAGCGCTCGAATTGCTGAGGTCAAAAACCATTTGAGTGTGGAGAAACTCAGTGGCTCTCAGGAAGGCACCCCGTGGTGGCTGTGAACTGTAAGAAGCCCTCTAGGACCACCCACCCATAGGCGCAACTGCAGCTTGACCACACCCACAGCAGCAGGGGCCAACGTTGGACACTGGACTTGGTTTCCATGTTATGACATCATGGGGGTGGGGCCAGCCCAAGAGCACATCACCATTGCCACTCCTACTCTGGCCTCCAAGCACTGGCCAAGATGGCAGATAGCTCTACCCCACCCACCGTGGAGCATGTGCATCCAAAGGGACCAGTCGCCAACCTCCCTGCCCCCCAGCTGGCCACCCCTCCCTAAGCAGCAGAGCCAGCACCACCCATCCAACCCCCACTCTCAGGCCATGCTAAGCAGGGCCCAGGTCAAGAATCCAATGGTTAGCGCAAGGGGACTGCTGGCACTCCTGTGAGCCTTGCTCTCCAGGGTCACCCAGTCCTCCAAATCCAGACTTCCCTGGGCACCTCAGAGCTCAAGAGAATGCCTAACGTCCCGTTCCAGGCCTCAACCCTTACTATCCAGGGTCAGGGACCCTAGAGAATTCCTCTGTGGCCCATAGGATCTTCTTTCTGACAGAAACTAAATTCTACCCAGGGTACTAGAGACAGCAGTTCTGGTCCCTGGGAGGTTGAACTCCACAGTCGGGAGGGACACACCCCCTCCACAGGTCATAGATTGTGTGGCCACAGGCTGGGACAATGGCTATTTAGTTTCTTTAGGAATAAGAGGCCACAGTGGCCCACAGTAAGCCACCCTTGACCCTGCAGAAAGTAGAGCCCTCCAGACCGTAGCCCCAGACCTCTGCTCCACAGTCCCCGAGGATTTCCTGCTGCAAAGAAAACACGTGAGAGACTAATGCGGAGTAGTCAAGAAACAAATTTGTTTGAGCTCCCTCGGGTAACTAAAAGTTACCTTTGCCCATCTCCTCTACAAGACCCAGCCCACCGCCCAATACCCTTTATGCTACCACCGCCACGGCTGCCGCTTGCAATCAGCTGACCATAGCTGCAGCCGTTAGTCCTGGGTGGGTGGGTGGGCGGGGGGTAGACGGAGCTGACATCGAAGTCCCTTCCCAAAGCCAGATCACGCTGGCTCCAGGTCCAGCCCAGGTGGCCAACAGAAGCAAGCAGGATACTGACCAAGAGGTAAGGGATAGGTGAGGGCCCAGGAAAGGCCCAAATTTGCTTCAAGGGGCAGGCAGAGGAGAAGGAAAAGGGGAGAACGGAGCAGGTGAAGAAGCTTGGGGCTGGAGGGGGGGGCACAGGACAGAGGCCGAGGGAGGACGAAGGCTTGTGAGAGGCAGCAGGCCCGGCTGCAAGGGCAGAGGCCCCAGGCTAACCGGTGCCCTGACCACCCCATGGGGCAGGCCGGAGCAGGATGGCAGCAGGGTCCTGGCTCCACGGCCCTGGTTACCTGAAGTTGGATAAGGAGGCCGCTGGGGCTGGAAGAGGAGGAAGACAGGAAAAGGCTGGAAGGCTCTCACAGGAGAAGCTAATGTCCAGTTTGCGAGCTGGTCAGTGCCTCGGCTTTTATGTCTGAGTCGGCTCCTCCCAGTCCCGGCTCCACCCTACCCAACCCCCCTCCCTACTGACCACTCCCCCCTCCGCCCCCTTTGCACCCGCCCCCTCCCTCCTTCCAGCCAGTCCCTTCTCTCCTGCACCCCCAACAGCTAGCCTTGGACCATTCCTTAGCAAATCACCACCAGTGGGAGGGGGGCCTCATCGTGCGCCCCCAGCCCTCTCTGCACAGACTAATGGGGGCGGGGAGGGGGCTCCTTCCTACGTCCTCCTAAGGAAAGTTCCACCCAGTAAAAGGCAGGGGCAGTTATTCTTTAGACTGTAACATTTCTGCCCTCCTGAGCCCGAAACTGGCCCCTCTCCCCACATTCCAAGTTGGGAATGTTGGGGACAGAGTTGGGGTGTGCAATGTGTGGGGGAAACAGCGAACTGCGACGTCTGGCCTGATTCCTTTGCCAATTTTGGGGGCGCTCCTGCCCCGCCCACCCACTTTTTCTCTCTCAGTCTCATTGGCACCAAGTCAACATACCAGGGTGGGCTTCAGAGACTCTATCCCCCCCCCTCCTCATCACTCAGCACCCTGGAGGGACAGTGCCTGCACAACACAAGTCATACATTTTAAAGCAGCTTACTTCCCCTCCCCAACACGCACCAAAGGACCAGAGTCTCCAGTGAGTTCAATTTACACACCCCCTCCCCACCAGTCTCCATACCCTTGCCCCCTCCCCCACCCCACAGCGCAAGGGGGAGCGCGAGTTTGCAGAGGGAGTGGGCCCCCAGCCCCCACCCCCTACCACACGAGTCCCGCCAAACCCAGGCCGGGCCCTACGCACCCGCACCCGCCTGCCCCCCCCCCCAGCCCTTACCTGGAAGCCGGCGACGCTGCCGCCCACCTCCCTGCTGCGGGTTTGCAAACCGAACAGCGGGCGAAGGCCCTTCTGCCGGGCACTCCTCTGCCAGCGCCGCTCTGACCAAGTCGCGGGAGCCGAATGTGCGACGGGGCAGAACGGGGGGATGGCTTTTTTGGTGGGGGGGGACGACGTCTCTTCTGCTTCTTTAGGGAGGACGGGCTATCTTAGGGCTGGGGCGGGCCAGATATTGTACTTTCGGGGGGGAAAAGGTATCGGGAAATGAGGTCAGCTGTTGTATCAAGGATAGTGGGGGGCAGAGATAGTGTGAGAGATAGAGTGAACGTAAAACGGGGGGGACCACAGAGAGGGAGAGAGGAAGAGAGGACAGCGAGAGGCGGGTAGGTTCACAGCGGGAGAGGACAGCTTGGAGAGAAACAGAAAGCGTATAATTAATCCACTTGGGTAGGCGAAGGCAGAGGGAGGACGTGAGGGGGGAGGGAGTCTGAGGCAAGGAGGAGCGGGGAGGGGGTAGGAGGGGAGCCTAGGAAAGGTGGCGGGTAAGTGCGTGCGCTGGGGGCGCACCGCGAGCAGAGGAAAGGACGCAACTTCGAAGGGCCGAGGACGGTGCTGAGGGGGGAGGAATTGAGGCGTCACCCCGACCACGGGCACCCAGCTCGGTTAGGGCCGACGGAGCCCTCGGCCGTCGTAAGCCCGGGCCTCTTGGGGGGGAGACAGGCGTGGCGGCGCCGCGGCCACTCGGGACTGCAGCGAATAGAGGGGAGCGGCCGGGCCGCGCGCCGGGGAGGGCTGGGAGGGGGAGCGCGGGGGATGACAACGCCGGCGACCTGCAAGCCGGACTGCCTGCGGTGGGGACCGCCTCCTCTGGCGAAGCAGGAATGGGGTGTTGAGGTAGATAGAGGAGGAGGCGGCGGGGAGATCCGCAGGCCCGACGGAGCGCGGCCCCGCCGACGGCGCCCTGCGCGGGAGTTAGCAGCGAGGCGGCGGACGGCGTCGACGCGGGGCCGCCAGCCCGGATGGAGGCGCTGGCGGGCCGAGCGCGGGCGGGCGTGGGCCAAGAGGCGGGGGCGGCCGGAAGGGGGGGCCGGGGGCCGGCCTGGCCTCACGCAGCTCCGCCGGAGAGCAGGCGAACTCCGGGCGCCAACGCCCGGCTCTTATAGCCGCGCCACCCCGCGGCTGGGCGCCCGCTCGGGCCCCGCTGGCCGTCCGCCCGCGCCAATGGGCGCCTGCAGGGCCCTCGCCCCGCCCCGGGACCGCCCCCGCAACTCGAGCCGCGGGGGGGGGGCGGGGGGGGACAAGGGCCGGGGGCCCTAGGCACGGGGGTGTGTGCCGGGGGGGGGCGTGCGTGGAATGCGTGGTTCCGAAGTTGGGGTGGGGGGCTGGGAGCCCCAGCATGCCCACGAAATACCGGGTATACGTTCCAAAAAAAATCGAGGCCCTATGTCATGTTTCCGGGGTGCCCTGTGCTTGTGCGACAGGGGCGCATGGTGTGAATCAACGTGCGTGGCACCCTAGGCCTCAGTGGTAGTGAGGGAACTGTGCTCAGTTAGGGGGTTACAAAGTAGGCGCAAACTGGCGGGCAGAGTACAGGCGCAGGTAGCTGGGTGCTGGTTCAAGGGTCCTCACAGGGACCTACCTGCCAGACAGTGGATGGTTCCCAAGATCGGTTAGGGCGGAGCGCTCAGCCGCCACCTGCCTGAGCAAGCTTGGCGAGCTGCAAGGCACCTTGAGTAGCAGCCAGATCCCGAGCGCCCCCCGGTGCTTTGCGCAGGGTACCTGAGCAGTCTGGGGGGCCATCAGGTGTGCCACTAAGGGAAGGCTGATTTGGCTACGCCAGAGTTGGGCCCTGCGTGGGACCCATCGCAATGTCGAAAGAAACAGGACGGGAAACAGCTCAAAACCATACCTGTAAGCTAGAACTCACTGGAGTGCGTCTAAGCAGCTCGCCTTTGGGACCCACCCAGAATATCCGGATAACAGTTACCCCGTTCTCTGTGTGTTGAACTTGCGTAGACGCGGGTTCGGCCCCAGGGGCCACCACGATAATTTGGGGGACTGAGGAAACTATTTCCTGGAGGGTTCAGGCGATGTAAAAAGCCACTGTGATTTTTACAGAGTCAAAACCACTCATAAACCGGTGCACCCTGTTTCCCACCACCCCGCGCCGTGCACCTCTAGGAATGGAAGGGGCTACCACCAGCGGAAACCCGCGCGCCCGGGGCTAACCTCCGGGCCGGGCCATTAATCACTTAGTCCGCGCTCTGCGCACGCCTCCCCAAGCCTTCGACCCGCAGGGTTGGAGGCTCCAAGCCGCTGGAGAGCTCAGCGCCTCTCCCCGACTAGCTTCGCCCAACTCTCTGCCCTTCCCGCTTCCTGGCCGCCAGGCGCTTTCCCTACAATCTAGTTGTTTGCAGAGTGCATGCAAAGTGGCGCGTGTTTCGGGGGCACCCAGCCGCCAAGGAAGAAGCCATCAGCCCGCTCCCGTGTTACTCGGCAGCAGGCCTGGGGACTAGCTGCGAAGTAGCCGGGTGCCTGCAGCCGCAGAGCTGGGGCACGCGGAGCGCGCCATGGGGAGCTCACCACAAGGCCGAAGGTCGCGTCGGGAGGCGCAGGAGGATCCGAGGAGAAGGGCCGGAGAGGCTCTGTGGAACGCAGTGGACGCTGCTGAAGGTGAGCGAGACCCCGAAGGCAGTCCCCAGTGTCCCGGGGCAACGCCCAGTCCGTTGGAAGACCCGGGGACAATGCCCAAATTTGGGGGAAACTGGGGGCAATGCCCAGTCGTTTTCCTGGACGAGGGAGCAGCACTGCCCACGTCCTGGCCGTCGGCAGTGTCCCGAGCGTGTTTTGGGCACACAGACTTTTCCAAAATCTGAGCCGCCGCCCGGACACCGTAAGAAAATGAAGAGGCCGAAACCAATGTTATGCGCAGGAAAGGGGAAGCTGCCGAGAGTGGCCAGCCAAAACAATGCTCAAATTTCGGGGATCCCAAGTCAGACCCTTGTTTGATCTGCAGCCCTGTGAATGAGTGTCCCGAAGTAAGGGAACTCGAGGGAGACTCCACAAATGGGGAAACTGGCTAACGACAAATTTGAAATTCCAGAAAAATTAGAATTCAAGTTGGGAAATTATTCCATGCAAAAAACAGGGAACATTGTAATCCGGGCCTAACTTGGGGAACCCAACATCTTGGTCAGCAAGCTTGGGAAACCCACAAAATCCTAGACTAGTTTGTAGAAGTTAAGGGGCTTATAGTTGCTGTTGAGTTTAAAAAAATTCCCAACATGAAATTTGGGAAAACTTCATTTTAATTGCATAAAATGGGAAGTAGGGATTTTAGGGATCTAGGTCAATTCTTTTTGGGAGGCGGGAGTGGAGACTAAGGTTTACCCTTAAGGCCAGTAGATCTTGTAGCACCCGGGAAAAATCACCTTTATAATTTCCGTGGCCTCAAAGAAGTCCTTCAGAGAATGGGGAAATGCTGTTTAAATGTGGGCGAGTTGGGAGTGCAAGCAGTCCATTTGAGGAAGACAGAAAATCAATGTCTTTTAATATTTTAATTTCTTAGAAAGATTTCAGTTGGTCTCTTTGTTGAACAAGGGGGGAGTTTGTATGTTTTCTTGGACAATGTTTGCGTTTGGAGAAATGTACTCCGAGTTTTAGGGATCAATAAAAATTACCCAATGGATGTTGAAATCTAAATTGTGGAGAGCAGAATTAGTAGCTAGGAAAGTTGTAAGATACAGACCTTTAAAACCTAGGATTTGGGGGATCTGGGATATTTTTCACCGTGCTTTTGGGGGACCATAAAACATTGCCCAAATTTAGGGAGACTCTGGCAGGAGTCATAAATTCAACAAGGTTCATTAAAGTTTAATAAAAACCCAAACTCTTTGGAAGAAAAAAAAATCTCATTTTGTTTTGGAGTACCTGAATTTGGCCCCAGGAAAATAATTTCTGAATCTAAAGTTTCCCACTATCCCTGGAACACTTTAGGGCCAACTCCTACATTTTAAGGAATAGAGATTATGAGTTCCTAAATCATAGGACCTGAGAATCAACGTCCCAGATTTGTAACTTGCAGAGATTGTGCAGGGTGACTGGAAAAAAAAAAAAAAAAAACTTGAAATGTTAGAGGCTGCGTGGTGCACGGCTGGCACTGCAGCGGGAGATAGCAGAACCTTTCCGTGACCCAAAGCTAACTAAAGGTGTTTGGGGGCCTGGAAAACATTGCCTAATGTTTGAGGACGCTCAGCACGGGCCAACATGGGGGAGTGAGGAGAAGGGTCCAGGATGGTGCTGGACTTTGCAACTGGTGTTTGAATTTAAAAAAAAAAAAAATAAATTTAAATTTTAAGCTGAAAGGACCCAGGAACTCTTAATACTTGGTGCAGAGAAAATGCTCAGAGTGTTTAAGACTGGGGACATTCCACATTCTAGTATAAAGAAAAAGGCTTTGGCCAAGCGTTAATTTTGTAATCTGGTCTCTTGCGTGACCCAGAGAGACATGTATGACTTGAGAGAGCATGGAAAGCTCTTGCCACATGTGAGCACACGCCCTAGATCATTGCTTAGCCTGCTTTAGGGGCTTGAGTGAGAGCGTCTGTATTTTAAAGAACTTTAACTGTGGCCAGAAAGCTTCCAAGAGCCCCAGAAAACCCCAACCTTGACCCTTGTGTGTGTGGGGGGGGGAGGTAGGGGGCTGGGGTTCTTGTTGAGTGAGTTTTAGGGGTAATTGCTAAAAAACACTCCCTCGATTTTCTGGAGTCCGGGAAACGAGAGTGTAGGCTGCTTGAGTTGCCTACATTCTTAGGGAAGGACATAGAAAGAAGGCTAGAACTAGGAGGGTTCCAGGAAAATTGTTAAGGAGGTCTGGGTGGGTTTCAACTTGTAAAATTGAAAAAATGGGCTTGGGGGAACAAACTACAGAATCGAGTGTATTGTGTTCCCTGTTAATAAAACTGGGGGGCGGGTGGCAGAAAAAGAGAGTTAGCGGGTCAGTGCTGCAGATATAAAATGATAGGGACACGGGAAAATACCCCCACACACACCCCGCCCCGTGGGTACAGCGCCTAAATGCTGTGAAACTGTCCACTCTCCAGACTAAGAAAAAATTGTCAGAAGGACTAAGGACCCGGACTTACATTTAAATTTTAGGGAACTGAGGTAGGAGCTTGCATATGAAACTTAAGAGACAGGAGCAAAATTGGGGGCCCAGGCCACATAATCTAATTTTGGGGAGCCAACGGAGGCGGAATTTCCGCCTTTTGAAATGTTTGGAAATCAAGTGTCAAAAAAGAAAAAAAAAGTTTCACTTGTGAGAAGAACAAACACTGAATGATTTTGGAGGGCCCCCGGAAAGCAATGCTTAAATTTTGAGGATCCCAAGGAAACAACGCCTGAGGTGCAGAGAAGCCGGCAAGTTGCTCTGGCTGCACGTACACCACAGAGAATTAGAGCTGCATTTGAGAAACTGAACTCCCAGGCGGCGAAGGACGGGGCGCCAGGATCCGCGGTGCCAGGGAACTCACACGGAGCAGGGGCGCCCTCACGGGGGAACCCGGGCGCGGGAGAGGGGCGCAAGCGGAACAGACTGGGAGCACCCGCGCCGCGGAGCGCGCGCCCGAGCCACAGCGGCATTTTTCGTTCTTTTGCCTTATAGTTACCCAGAGGGCTTGGGTGGCAGAGGCAAAGCCGGACGGGCGTGGGCGAGGGAGGGGAACGTCGAGCAAGCAGCCGCGCGGTGCTCCCCGAGACTTCCCTGGACTCCCGGCGCCCCGTTCGACTCCCCGCCGCCCCTGCGCCCCACGCGCTCAGGCGCCGCGAGCCTAGGCGAAGCCGCGGCCAGGCGGCCGCCGGGGGCAGGCTCGTCCCTGGCTCGGTTTGGGGACCCGGAGCACCCCCAGTGGCCACCCCTGCCCGTCCCGTGTCCCGAACGCGCCGATCAGGCCTTGCCCGCTCCCTAGCAATTAACAACGGAGGAATCGGTTTTGTTTGGGCAGTATGGAAAGAGGGTAAAACGTGGGGGAGCAGAGAAGAAAGTGGGGGGTGAGAGGGGCGCAGAATGACACAGTGATAGCAGTGGCCGGGTGCCAGGGCCCTCATTTCGTTTTCTCAGAAAATTTCGGCGACTAGCCTCTCAGTTCTGGCTGGGGAAAGTCCAGCTTCTTAAAGGCAAATATTAAACCCACACACAGGCTCACCGTGCTGTTGTTGGGAACAAGGCCACCCCCTCAAAGTTGGGCAATGCTGGAGGTGAAGGGCCACAATTCTAGCGGGACCTGGGGGTTGGGGTGGGGTGTTCCATAGGGGAGGTGCTGGGGAGTAGCAGAGTGGGGGAAACCCTGGAGCCATGACTATAAGCATTGCTTGTCTCTATAGTCACCCATAGAAGGATAGTATGGGGAGAGGATTCTCAAAGCCTGACACTGGGGAGGCAGGAGTTAATGTCCTTGGACAGGTGCGGGGACCCAGGCTGGGTGAGGCATTGCCTTCATATTAGCTTGGCAAGATTGAGAGAGCCCCCCACACCCATTTTCCACCCGGAGCATGAGGCACGTGGGGAATGTTCCCCTTTCAAATTCCAGTCCGCATCAATCACCCCCGTGTCCTATTCCAAGAACATCTGGTCTGTCCCCCCCATGCTGCCCCCCTCCCACCAGCCTCTATCCCTGGCTTTTCTGGCTTGCCTGCTTGTGTGCCTATAGACTTGAGGAAGCTTCCAGCTAGAAAGACTGGGGTATGATAATGCTCCCCATTCTGGAGGAGTCTTGTAAATTTTGGGGGAGTGAGGAACATTTAAAAAAAAAAAAAGGTGTCTTGTGAACACCCAGTCCTCCCAGTCCTCATGAAGCTAGAGCAGGCTAACAAGCCCTCTCCTGAGGGTCTCCTTTAGGAAAAAACTGGCTCCCAGGGGCCAGCTGGGGGCTCTCTACCTTTCCCCCAAGAAGTGGCACAGGTTAGGGATGATCAAGATACTGGGACCAGAGCCCCATTTCTGGAGTCCTGCTTTATTGCTCCTAAGGGGCATCTGAGAAGGCGGCAACCACACCAGAGGCCTGTTTCATGGCCTAATCTCTGCTTTCTACCCTGCAGAGGTGCCTTGAAGAAAGCTACAGGAACACCTCGGAGAAGCACTCCTGGATTTTGCCAGGTAGGGAGATGCTGGGGTCACCTTGAGTGCCCACTGAAGAGCCACCAGGGCATGCAGACGGGGTAGGAAGGGGGCTGGGACATGCATGGTCTCTTTCTTCTACATGGCTGTCCACAGAGCCTTCACCTGGCCTTATTTAGTCAAAGTGTGGCTCAAGAGACAGGGAAGAGGCTTGTAGAGTTCCCGGTCAACCTAGGGCTCAAAAGTGGCTTAGCCACCCTTAGCCAGGATCAAGGAGAGAAGTCAGTCTCCCTCCAAGGCCTTTTTCTTTCCCCTACTCCCCATACCCCTTACAACAGCCTTAGGATGTTATGGGTAGGGGGCTGTGGTTTTCTCTAGGAAGGGGACCCACTAGACATGAGCCCTAAGCGCAACCCAGTCCCTGCTCTGCCCCACCACCATGACAGCCCAAGTCTTTCTGGGCTTAAAATCCTGAAGAAACTAAATACCCTTTAAGATTCAGATTCGCCCCTTAAGCCTAGCAGCACCCTTAGCCAGGGACTCTGTCTATCTCCCTTCAGGCCTTCCTTATTTTCTCTGTCTTTTCCCAGCTCTGCTGTTGCCCAAACTTGGAAACAAGCCCAGCATTTTGCACAGCCATCTTCTCTCTGAGGGTCCCTAGTATGCTCTCCCCCATGCCCTGCTGGAAGGACGACCGCTGCAGAGGCCACCACACAGAGACTCCAGACCAGGGAGACACAGGCAATGCTCTGTGTTATCATGCAAGCCTGGGAAGTCACCCCTGGAACCGCCAACATGAGGATTTCCACTACCATGCTGGCTGTGATCAACACACCCAAACCCCAAAGTAAGTAAGAGTTACTGTGGGGGCCTTGGAAATGGGGCAGCAGAGAAGGTCGGTGTGCTGGGGTGGACAGAGGCCAGGTCATGTTAATTCCTTTAGTGTCGGAACCATCCTTTAAAAGAAGATTTATGGCTTCCCTTTGGCATGGGCACAGCAGCCTGGAGGTGGAGTAGGAGTTCACCTGCTGGGCCCCACCTAGCAGACTCTGGGAGTCCTGTGCCCTTGAGACTAAGGCACAAGGACACAGAGGCACACGTTGCCCCCTCCCCCAACCTCCGACATTCGGCCAGACACAGAGCCTTTGCCTTCCTGATCCCCAGTACCTGAACAGTGAACTGCAGGGTCACCAAGCAGCAGAGCTTACTCCGGCAGAGTCCACAGGGCTTCTGGCCCCAGGCCCTTTCTAGCTACCTCCCATCCCTATTCACGCACAGGAAGCCCATGGCCTCCAGAACACAATGGAATCAGGACACGAGCTCTCCCAAGGCCCTTCCACAGGTCTCAGAATGTCTCTTTGGTCATTATTTCATTTTCTGTTCACAGTTCAGTCAGGAGGCCTGAGACTGTCACACACTTTGACAAATGGGGATAGACACAGAAAGGCCAAGCCACTGGTGCAAAGGCACCGCAGCAGCAACTGCACAGCCTGGGAAAAGGGGGGGGGGCAGGGCCCCCTACGCCAAGCTTTCCACAGTCTCCCAATACTTTCTAATTAACCGTTTATTTTCCTTTTCTTTCCTCAGATTCTTTCCTGATCTGGAACCTTTGCCTTTCCCTCTTGGGCTGTCTGACCCTCAGCCCTTGCCACCTTTGCCCCTACACTTCTGGGAGCACAGCTTCAAGGACCTGCAGGCTATAGAGACTGCTGGATGCCTGCTCTGCCTACACCTCCTGTTCCCAAGGAGAGGCGCCCGGAGCCCACCTGAATTCCAGATACCAGCTGTGTGACTGAACAGACTTCCTAGCCTCTGCTGGCCCCTTGGCTGCAAGGGACTTGGCTGAGCCCTGTATCTGCAGGAGTCTGGATATGACTCTTGTGCTAGAGATACCTCTGCCCTGCTGGATGTGCGATGGACACTCACCTCTGGGGAAGGATTGGGGCTGGTGGGCGGCTCCATTTCAGTTCTGGGAGCTTGGGGATCTCCTGGGCCACAGGCCACAGCAGCGGGCCTCGGGGCTGGGATCACGATCATGGGCTGCTCTGGCTGGTGGCTGCTCGGGCTTCGGCTCAGGCTTCGGCTCGGGCTTCTGCTCCGGCTTCGGCTCCGGCCTCGGCTCCGGCCTCGGCTCCGGCCTCGGTGCAGGCCTCGGCTCCGGCCTCGGTGCAGGCCTCGGCGCAGGCCTCGGCGCAGGCCTCGGCGCAGGCAGGGCAAGAGCTCTAGCCTTAGAAGTTGCAGCACCCCGGAATCGCCTGGGGTCCTCCTCGTGCACAATGAGCTGGAGCTCGGTGGTGACTACTCGGCCCCTAGGAGAAGCAAAAGTCCTTGAGATTATATCAAGAACAAGTCTTCTCTAGTTGAGGCTGGCCCCCTTCTCCCCTTGCTACAGGATGGAGAAGCCAGTGGGTCAGCTTGTCAGGGTTGCTCCCACACCCCTTCCCTTCAGCTGCCTGCCTCCCGCTTTCTAAGTAGAAGGGAGAAAGCAGTTGGTGAGAAGTCACTTTGCCAAGTTTGCTCAGGGAAAGGCAGGAGACCCTCCTTTGGAAAGGACAAGCTGGCCCCTTTCTAATTAGGGGTGGGCTTCTGCCTTGGCATGGGTAAGGGTGCTGCACACAAAAAGGTTTCTTTGAAGGGCCGCAGCTAAAGCTATGAAATCCCTCCCACTCCTGTCCTCACACTCCCACCTTGAATGGGAACAAAAATCAAGAGGGCACATGGCTCTGCTTTAGGAAGGGCAGCCTCTGGAAAGGGTGGTAGGGGCTTCTCCAGGAAACAGCCCCGCTCCCCATGAATGCTATAATGGGTGGATTAAGGCATCTGGGATCCCAGTTGCAGGAAAGAACACACTTTATGCACAAACAAATGTGCACCCAGGAGTACTGTTACTGCCCCAAATTTATATTTGCAGACAGGGTACGCTAGAGGGACTGGTGTATCAGCAGAGAAGCAACTTTTGTTTTTTTAAACCCTGCTAGCGAACAGCAAGGGATAACATCCTCATGGTTCTTCTACTTATCTCTTGGTGGCAGCAGATATAGAGAGGGAAGCTTTGCTTTTTAAATTTTTTATATATATAAAGCACATGTATGTGCAGTTTATGCATGTATATAATCCATACACCCCATGCTGCCCCAGAATCTCTGTCTGTCTGCACAGTTGGGATGGCGAGAGTGGAGAGGAGTGTGCACCAAGGGGAAATTTTTCACAGAGAAAAACTTCCACACTTGTGAAAACAGCTGTGTACTCCTGCTGGGAAGAGCAAGAGACCTGCCTCTCCCCTTTTGCATGGTAGATTAGTGAAGGAATGGTTACTTTCCTTGTAGTTTTGTGCAGTCCTCTAAGTCCCCAGCCCGATTATCAGAAGCTGAAGTTACTCAGATCCGTCCAGTCCAGCGGCTGTTTTTCCCACTTCAGAGATCAAGATCTTAATTGCCCCAAGTCCCCAGCCCACTTACCCTTAGGAGAATATTTAAACTATAGTTTCACCCATACACAGAAGGAATGAAAAGCCAGTTAGTTACCTGTACTCTAGTCGCCTTGTAGTCCCCGAAGTTCCCGGACGGTGGATAAAGAGGACTGGGGACTCACTGGTGCCAAAGATCCTCTTCCGAAATTGCTTGGGCGATGATCTGCTGGCTGGGCCAGTATCAGCAGCCTCCGCCAAAGCAGGGGGTGCTCCGGTTGCAGTGTCCAGACACTCCACCTGGGTCGATGTTGAGGAAGAGGTGGTAGGGGACGAGGCTGAGGCTGAAGAGACGGTTAAAGGAACTTTTAGAGTGTGCATGATAACAGAGCCTCTAAAAGTGGGTCCTGCTGTCCACCACGGAGCAAGGCACCTGCTCAAATGATAACTGACACTATATCTTTGCCCCTCACCTACTCGTCCCCTCCACGCCCAGCCCCCGACCCCTCCAAATTTGGGAAATAATGTGCTTGCACAGTGCAGCAAAGACTTCTGGGGCAGCTGACTATGGCACTTTCCCACACTAGGGCATGGGGGCATTAAGGGGTGGGGCTTTGGCCTATGCCTGTCAAATGGAAAGACATCTATGTGGGCGTGAACATAAGTTAGAAGCACTTCCTGTTAGCTAGGGGGTGGAGACTATGTGCAGGGGGTGGGGACTGGGTAGGACTTCACTAGAGTGACACTGGCAGTCACTTGACACCCTGGAATGTCTGTGGGCGTGGCACAGGTAAAAAGGGGGCGTGGCCTATTTAAATTAGAAGCCGGGTTCCAAATAAATATTAAAATTACTTTTAAAATGCTTCCAGTGCATCTGTGTGGTACAGCGCCATCTTGTTGTTTCATGTTTTATGGCTACTCAACTTAGAATTCTTCTCTGTCATCAGTCATCTGACCTGGCCCCCTGCCCTCTGTGTGTAGTGCCAAGCACTAAACATACTGATGCAGATGACATGTATAGTGACACTTGTTCACCCTTTTTGGGATGTTGATTGGCTGGGTTCTCACTCCTTTTTAGCCTAGCTGCAACTCCGTTTAAGGCACAGACTGAGAACTGACAGCAGCTGGTATGGGACTCAGATACAAGCATTGCCTAAAGTTTCATTTGTACTCTGAAATGTTTGTCCCCTGGTTTTGAGGGAGAGCAGGAAGAGCAGAGACTCAAAAAAAAAAAAAAAGAAAGAAAGAAACAAAAAAAAGTGTACTCTACCCAAACCCACTCCTCTCTACCCTTTGCACTTTTGAAGTCCAGCTAATCTTTTTATCTTACTTATCTTATCAGCCTAAGCTAAGATTTAATGATTCCCTCTCCCTTTGTTGTCCAAGTCCTACCTGAACTTCTTTACTTAGTGGCAGAGATAGGCATGTTTGGGGAAAATGAGACATTCCGTAGGGGAAGATAATCAAACTTTAGGGGAATTCATATCTGATGGGGGCGACTCAACATGACACAGACATCCTTTTTCATGGGAAAAGGGCAGATGGGATTTCTCACTATGCTTGTGGATGACTCCCAAGTCATATCTGTGGTACATAGCAGAGGGCACCTCACACTTCACAAAGGTGAGGCAATCTTTTCCTCACGAAGATTCTAGCTGTGCTTTGGGGTTAGTGACCAGAAGTGTGTGGCAAGTGCTGCCCTCTGTTGTCTGCTGCAGTGTGCCTGGATGATACTAGGGCCTTCTGAGAACGTTTGGCTGGGATTTACCAAGCCAGAAGTTGGCATGGGGAAGGTGGAGGCTTACTCCAAACCCATGAAGCAATTCCTTGGAAGTGCCATAAGAGGAGGAACTCTTTGAGCAAGTAGAAGGCCAAGGGGCTGGAGGAAAAATTGGCTACATCCCACAGGTCACAGTCAGAGAAACAGTCTTAACTTCTTCCAAATGAATCCAAGTTCTGTCCCCCGAATTCCTACCTCTGACTAGGCCCAGGGCTATTTTTATCCTACTAGGGTCTTATAACACAGAGTATTTAAGGAAGAGGAGAATGCAGCTGAAGAATGCCCATGGAGCAACTAAACCATGGTGCTACCGAGGCAGAAATAAATGGGGCACCGGGCATCAGTGAGCTACAATTTGAGGGGCATGATCTTTCAGAATTATATTTCGTAGGTGTTCCATGGTTGAGGGATACAGTTTATGGGACACAGGAGAAAGGGACCATAAAAGAAGAACTAATATTGGGGTGCAATCATGAAGACACGGCACAGAAACAATCTACTCACTTGATATTTCGGGAGAGAAGAGTAACTTAATTCAGGGGATCTGTCTGAGCTCTCATTTATGGAAAAGAGAGCTGAAGTACCCCTAGAAATCCCAAGCATCTACTTGGCCTTGCTGGGCTGCTAAAGTGGCCTCATGCTGACATCTAGTGGCCATATCTGCAATTACAATGCACAATTTAAAGTTCTTACTGCAGAAATTTGGGGGTACTCAGGGAGGCGAACTGGTGATAGGTGACACTATGACTCTTTCACCCTACAGAGAGACCTGTAACATCAGGGTATGAGTGAGTTTTGTAGCCTTGTACTTGGATTTTTTTTTTTTGGTTTCTACTCTATCAGGCATTTTTTTTCTTTGCTTATCTTCCTGTTCTAGGACTTAGGAGCACCCCAAATTACATAAACTCCAAACAACTTGAATCATCCACTTAGTTCTATAAAAAACTATGTCATATTTATATTAAAAATAAATTTATTATGGACTCTTTCTAGCTATAATCCCAGGATCCCAGATAAGAAGTGGGGTCCCTAGGGAGAACTAGGGTGGGCTAAATTTTGTTCTTAATTCCCCTTGGCAGCCCCACCATCTTGCATCTGTAAAGGGAATTTGCAAACTTGGCTTAAGCTCGACATCTGGTGGCCATTTAAGAAATTACACTGAAGCTTCAGAAAACATCTCTCTCCCCACAATCATAATTACAGGGTGCTTTATGAAGCCTTGGGAATGGAGAGAAGAAGGCAGGTGTCAGGGCCGGGGACGTCATTCAGTGGTAGAGTATCTTGCAAGCAGGAGGCCATGATTCAATCAATAACACTGAAAAAAATCTCTTAATCTACCTACACATAACTGTCCTTAACCCTGCACATTGACTTCCTCCCCTTGGAGGACAGGCAGGAAAGGACCACCTTCTCAAAAGGTACAAAGCCATAGCTGAGAACCCAGGAAACCTTGTGCTCGGGGATGAGGGGTACATTCTATATACCCATTGAGTATCACACAGGAATAGACCGGGTCCAACGGACTGGTGACTGCCAAGGTTCAAATACCTCATCTGCTCATTACTTTGGGCAATCTACCTTGAGCTTCCGTTTTCCCTCCTGACCTCACAGGTTGTTTCTGGAACCATGTGGAACTGTAGCTGAAACAATCCAGAACCCATGGCTGCGAGAGACCTGTTTATAACAGCTCTTCTACCTGTTCAGACAAAACTTTACTCAAGGTGGGACTCTGGGATTTGGAGTAGAACACTGGCTAGAGCCACCTTAAGAACTGAGTTAGGACTTCAAAAAACTGCAAAAACCTTCTTGTCCCAACATACACAGTGGACCTCAGGAGCATCCCTCGTCT